ACCCATCAAATATCATTATATCAACTTAAAATTCCTCAATTTACCATTTCATTAAATGAACATTCCATTTTGAGCATTCTCATTAGCCTAAAACACCTACAACCCAAATCCCTTTGATCTTAACACATTTGAGCCCATTAGACCATACTGTTGAGCCCTAGGCACACTAAAACACTTGCCCATAAAGTTTCAACTCAAGATTGCCCTATTTACCCCTCTATCAAAATAAGATTTCAATTTACATGCTCTCTTTGACCCAAATCCACATTACCACTGATTTCAGATACTCTAAAATACTCACCTATAAAATTTTAGCCCAAAATACTTTTATTTGCCCTTTCATCACACCAAGATTTCATTTTAAGACCTTAAATTAATCAAACCACTACCTTTCAGATATGCCCGACCCGGGCCCATTTGGGTCAATCCAACCCTACCAATCAACCCAAAATGCTTAGAAGCCCTAATCTTGTGAAATTTCAACAAAAATAACCTTGTTTGCTCCTCTATTGCACAAAGATTCTGTTTTGAAGCTCCCGATCGATCAAATCAAGCTCTTTTCTAGATCTGCCTAATGTAGACCCAATCTGACCCCACTAATCAAATCAGCATAATTAAAAGCCCCTCCCCAATAAAATTTCAACTAAAAATACCCTCATTTGAAAAGATTTTGTTTTAGTCAATCTCGTTAACCTACAAATACCACACTATCGGAAACGCCCAAATATCATCCCAACCCTCCATTCCGACTAGAAAACTCATCCATCCATCAAAGAACCAAGGTTTGACCATTGAACCCGGCTTAACCCAAATATCTTAAATTTACAAAAATGCCCCTTAAAAACCCAAAATTACGAAACTGCTGCTTGGGCCTAATATAAATACTCAACTAAGTTTCTAATTGAACAGAATTCGAAGGCTACTATTCATCTTCTTCGACAGAGAATGGAACGGCGACAGTTCTTAGCCTGATTACCTTCTCCACCTCCAGCTTATCGTCTCCCCTCTCTCTCTTTTTCTCTCCCTCCCCCTCTCCTTCCTCTTCTTCTTCCCTTTCATTTTCTCTTTTTTCCCTTCCCCCATTTCATCACTGTCGTTGCAGCGGTGGATTCAGACACAGCAGTAGCACTCCGGTCATTCTTCCTCCCTCATCCTATATCCTTCTCTCTCTTTTCCCCTCATTTCTCTAGCCTCACCGTTTTATTCTTTCACCCATCAACCCAGAGAATCGAAGCACCCTGTTCATCGTCGTCAACCACCAACTTGAACCAATTGCAGCGGCGACGCATTTCTCCCCCATTCTCATTCATCTCTGGAGAATTTCATCGTTTTATTTAATCTTTATTTTCTACTTCTATTTTCTCAACATCTTTTCTTTTGTTCGTGGCCATCTTTGATTTCCCCAATCATTCGAGATCTCCCCTGTTCCCCGATCATCGTTGCTGGTCTAGTAAAAATCGTCAGTAGTAGTAACAACTTGAACCTCCCAGCGCTTCCTTGGATTGGAATGAAATCTACATCTAAAACCTTGTTGTTGTTCGTTAAATCCCACAGTTTCCAGCTCCTACAACCACTGTTGACAGAGAAGACAATCTAAGATTAAAAGACCCCCTATTGCATCGTCCTAGTTTGGGCTGAAATACTACTACCTTCTCCTTGAAGCTTGAACTTGTTCAGATAGTTTGACTGAAAGATTTAGAATCACAGTGAAGTATTTCTATTTTCTCAATTGATATGTTAATTCACCGTTCCGCCATCAGTCGTGTTGAAGACCAATATCAATATAGAATTTGCTCTGCTTCATTGGTGGTTGATCTTCTTAGATTAGTTTTCTTATTTCTCTTTTAAATGTCGACTCGTTTGCATGAGTTTGAATTAGACAATCGCCTGGTTTGACTTTTTAAGACTGAACTGAGAAGCACTCAATTATCTGTTTGTTACCGAACTGTGATTGTCTATGTAATCATCTGGGCCCATTCCTTCCTAAATAACAATGTCCATATAAGTAGAAATAAACACAGCAAAAATAAAAGGGGGAAGTGATTAAATGGAGAAGATAGCAGAGCTAGAATGAATCACATCTGTATATGAAAGGGAAGGAATGCTGGTTGAAGACAAGCAAAGCGGGTTAAAAAAATGATGATAGTAAAAGATATGAACAAAAAAAAGAAAGAAAAGAACTGAAAATCTGTAAAAAAAGGGTTTGATTAACAAATCTGGGCATTGAGCTAGTAAATGAAGTTCGTCAGAAGGGGTTAAGAAGTAAGATGTGAGGAAATAATGATGCTAAAAGAAAATTATTCTTTTTTTTTAAGGAGAATAGAAAATACAACTAAAAATATAAAAAACAAACAATAAATAAACAAAAAACAAAAAATAATGAAAAGAAATAAAAAAAAATATGAAAACAAAGAAAACTACAATAAAAATAATAAAATAAATAAATATAAAATATAAAAATAATAAAGTTTACCTTTATGCTAGCTTCTATTGTGATTTGCTTTGCTTATTATTAATTTGTTTATTTGTGCTTGTGCTTATTGGGACACTATGTAGGCACCACCTATTAGAAGTCTTACCTGGACTATTTAGCCAGTGCCATGGGCTTTGAAGTCAATATTTTATAAAAATGGCTTTGATATATTTCCCAAAGGCCCCATCACCTCAATTTCTTTAATTGATGGGAGGCAACTCCAAATCAGTCCAAGTAAATTGTTTTCCAATGCTCACAGCGGTCTCTAGGGAGGGTCATCCCCATTGCAAGTTGTTGGCTGACTCCCGCCAGGGATAAGTGATCAACTCGTGATCTTATAGCGAGTCATTGGAGGTGAAGTGCTACAAAAGCCGATGAGGGAGTGTGCCCAAGGTCCCCTCAGCTTGACAGCCCTTCACTGCCATCTTCTTTTGAGGTCAAGGGTCCTCCTCTTCCATAGATCGTTTCTGCCCAATAGCCCTCTTTTGGGTGGCCTCGATGGCCTCGGCCCTCCCTCTTGTTGCCTCCCCTTCAGTACGCCTCCGAGACATCCACTTGGTCACAATGCCTCTCTTCGCAGCCTTAGCCTTCTTTCCTGCCTGCGCCAACAAGATCACCTTTTGAGATCTCTCCATTTCTATACAAGAATATCCAATCAGTGAAAAAACATGAAGCGGAAATCATATAGGTCGCAGACAATGGGATTGCCCTACCAAGCAAGGCAGGACTAAGATCGGCCTTCACCAACAATCCGGCATGAATAATCCCTCCTAACCAAAATCAATTCAATAATGACTTCTCCTCATCACTGCAATGTGGTGCAAATCAACAACGACTTCTTGTAGTTGTGAATAAACGATGGGTTGTTTACTACTTTACCCTATCGGCCCATAAAATACCATAATCCCTCGCCCTCGAGGTGCTTCCATAGAGTAAGAGGTTCACCATCATTGGAACTCCTCGGTTGTGAGCTACTACGATGACAACTACAATGGTCCTAACAGTGTTGGGGGCAAGCTGGTTGAGGATGATCCCATAATGGTTCAACAGCTAAGGGATGAAGGGATGTAGTGAGAAATATAGCCCAAACTGTAAGTAGTGCTTGTGGACACACACCTCGCCCTCCCTGTAGAGGCACGACCTGTCACCAACTCGAGGGATTTTAACCCTATAGTCCTCAAGTATGAAGTACTTCTCGGCCAAACATAAAATGTCCTCTCGGCCAAGGACACTATCTAAGTCGGAGCATATCAGGTGTTAACGCCTAATGACTGGGCCCTCAGCTCCTAACCATTCCTCATTGGCCACCCCCTCAGCCTCAATCTCCTTGCCGACCACAAAGTACGATACCAAGGGCATCGCCTCTCAAAGCACCACTGTGGTTCCTCCAAGGGCATCACCCCTTGGCCTCGTGGATCCAATACTCTCGTTAATGGAGCCTTCACTCCGTTGGCCACACTCAACGTCGGGAGCTGCAGCCCTCCTCTGCAAGACCTCCATCCCGGAAGGTCGAGAGGAGATCTTAAAGCTACAACCACTACTATTATGCTTGGCGAGAGTATTACTAGGGTTGCTCTAATCAAGGAGGGAATAGGCCTTGTGCCTACAGAAGTGGACATGGTAAGAGGATGATGTCTTACCCAAGTAAAGAGATAGAAAACTCAAAAAAGGATAAACGGGAGTGGAGTGTTAGCCAAACTGTTCCGGGAGCTCCAGGCGAGGCGAGTGCACAATTGACGAGGTCTTACCCAACTCACTCAAAGACTTAGAAGACTTTTTGAGCTTCTCTCTACTTCTATCAACTAAGGTCGAGGCCTAAACAATTATACTAGCATCGGCCTTAACCTTAGCCTTGAAAGTAGGGGCAAGTGATATGGGTATAATCAACTACTTCGCCAGATAAGGACACTTGGTGCCACCCAAGGGCAATCTCGTCACGTCGACCTCAGATAGAGGCATTGTCGTGGCTTCCCTGTGTTATTATTGCAAGGTATTTATTGTAAGTGTTACGATCTCGGCTGAACTCACTCCTAGCATGCTTAAGTTTGGTAACGCTCAGCTTCCATCCATGTACTAATCACATTCATGACTGAGATCCATGGGACGGTTACCGACTACCCATTACTACTCTCTCGAGCGACTCCAATTATAAAAGGGTACCGAAACCTAAGGTACATTCGTGCATATACTTAAGTTCTCTATTTCTCTCTTGTTGTAACTTTGCTTATTCTACAAACCCTTGGCTAACTTAATTGCCTGAGTCCTTGCCCTTGGGAACAACCCCAAGACTTCTAACATCTTTTCACTCTTAGAAAGTGAGACCCTCAATCGCTGAAAGCTACCAAGTTGCCCTTGGCTCCAAATTTGGCAACAACAAAACTATCAACAAATTTAGCTTTTTTTTTCTCTGGTGGATTTTATGTCATATGGAGTTTTGAGAAGTTTGTATGACTATAAAAATCTTGGATTTCTCTCTTTCTCCTACATTATAAAATCGGCAATAGAGAATAGAAATGCCCCAGAAATAATATGTACAAGGAATTAATAAAACTGTGGAAGATCCATCCACAAAGCCCCATCAGCTAACCTAACTTGCATTAATTAGCTAAACCTTTGCCATACAGTGTCTTCTTGGGACTGCATGCATATGATAACCTAAATGGCCGAGTAGAGTTGCTTGGACCCAGTCCATCTGTGCAACACATAGCCATTAACATCATAGAACAGAATYTCAGCGCTGGTTTGAGTCAACTGCACAGACATGAACCCTTGTCCATCATAGAAGAACCTGATTGCATCTTTATTCGCCGTTTTAACATCTCCCCTCCATGCTTTGGACCCCGCCCCACTTGTTAAGAACTGAAGAGGGCTGCATCATAACATCCCCAATTAATTTATATTCCAATATTCATGAAACCATCAACATATTATCTCTGTTAGATCATGCATCTGAGGAATTCAAATTCAAATTACCTGCTCAGACTACTGATGTGCTCCAAACAATGGTCATGTCCGTTCATRTAGAGATCGACGTTGTTCCTYTGAAGGATTGGGAGGAGTTTCTCAACAAGCTCCTTGGTGTCGCCGTGATGCCCAACACTTCTGATTGCATGGTGACCCACCACAATCTTCCATGTCGCCGTCGACTGACTYAGTGCAGTGTCTACATCCCTGAGAAGGTTGGCAATGTACTTMYTTCTTGGAAGAACACCTCTCCAATCGTAGATGTGATCTTTTGGGTCATAAAAGTACATGTCCACAAATGGATTTGTGTCCACAAAGAAGAATTCCGCAATTTCTAGCCAACAGAAAAAGAAGAAAACAAAAGAAATTCAGCTTTTATTCTTTTTGAGCTGCTTTAAATTTAAAGGAAGTTTTTTTTTTTTTTCCTTCAAATCATACCTGCATTGACAACAAAAGATCTCAAGCAAAGCCATCTGCTATCTTTCTGCCTTAGGACAGGGCTCAGTTGCGCCTTCACATTACCTCTGTAATCATGGTTTCCCAAAACTGTAGAAGAAAAAAACTCAATTAATTCAACTCTGATAATAACAAAAAAGAAGAAGAAGAAGAAGAAGAAGAAGGAAAGGAAGAAACGAAATCTTATCTTACCACTGTACCACTGCTTTTGCAAACTCTTAGCGGTGTAGACCCTGGTAAATGATTCCTCGAAGTTAGGATCGTTTTCGCCCGTCAAGGCGTTGTCATAAAAATTATCACCAACAGAGATCACGAAATTAATGTTTAGTTTCTTTCCAATTCTTCCCATCTGCAACAAATAATTTTCCAGGAAAAGATTGAAGATCAAATACAGATTCTTATTCAAATATAAACATTTTGGGTATTTACACCTGTCATAGACCGAAACAAATGCAATAAAAAGTGAAGGAAAAGAATGGAGAATGTTTGAAATCAAAATAAATTAACAAGAAACATCCAACACATGAATTATTATTTGTAATTCAGTTTGCAGAGAAAATCTAAACATATCGACCCAGAAAGAATTGAAGAAAGGGTGAATGATAATATGGTATGCAAGTAAAGATGTTTGTTTATAGGACCTGAACGGCAACTTCAGACTGGTTGTAAGTTCCTCTTCTTCCCCAGTCTCCGATGACCAAGAAGCTCAGTGACCCATCATCATTTGCGGGATGGTCGAATCTTTGAAGCTCTGCAACAGACGAGATCACCAAGCACATGGTCATAACAAGGCACAGAGCCATGGATTTGATACTCGAATGGGCCGCCATGGCTCTGTGAGGACGAGGATGAGGAGGAAAAAAAAAAAAAAAATACAAAAAACTCAAAATAAGAAGGGTAGAGAGGTAGATGGTAAAAAGAGAGAAAGAGATGAGGAAATTGGGATGAATGTAGAAGGTACTTATAGATGAAGCGTGGTTCTATAATTAAACAAGGGGCAGAAAAATTCGGTGGAGATTGTTTCTTGACCACGAATTGAATTGAACTAATCAATAATCACCTATTTCAGTCTCCTTAAAACGAAAAAGTCCACAACTCCACATATTATGTTTCAGGTTTTCTAGGTAATAAGGAGCTGTAATAAGATTCCACATGGCAAGTTTCCTGTTTCCCATAGGCTAAGATCTGTCATTTAAATGTCTCTTTGTTAATCTCTCAGTTCTCATTATGATCCTCGCTCGCTCAACTTGGTATTTGCTTGTTAAGTTATTTATCCAGGTAAGTGCTTTCCTTAAAACACTTACTCTAGATAAGTTATTTTATTTTCCATGCAAATAAGACAATAACCATTTTAGTTATAAAAATATATTATTACTAGGGCATTTTTGTCCCATTCAATTATTGGCAACTTTCTCCCTCAGGTGAAAAAATTATTTACCCACCTAGGAGATGGATATCACTTACCCGTATAAGTTGTACATAGGAAAATAAATTTTCCCTGTCCATATAAATCTTAAAAAAAAATCATAAAATTCTTAGTTAATGAGAATCAAAATCCCATTGACCAACTCTTCCCCCTCTCAAAATCCAGAAAAAAAAGACACCTCCTTCACACAAACATAACCTTAAGGGAAACCCAAAGCTCTAGTAATTGGGGATGGGGTAGGGGTAATATTTGTCCATCCTTCCCCGACCCTGGCACTAAATTTGCCCTAATAACATGTCATAATATCTGTATAATGTGTTATTAATTTTATATAGACTTTCTATGTTTTCTACACGATAAGTATTCATTTGTCCTAAGGCAAGTTTGATTTTCTCTCTTTTTTTTTTTTTTAAGCGCTTTTGAGGTATTATGAATTGACACAGATGAGTTACAATCCTCCTTGAAAAAGGACAGATGCGTGCCCACCGTACCTAGAAAAAGTCTCACACTTACAATAGAATATTGCTATAGGCAATTTCTATGACATGAAACCAAGTTTATTATAAACCAGTTAATAAGGTTTAAAGAAACAGTATTTTATATTTAGGATCCATGTGCATGTTTCATTTGTACAAATGTAAATGTCTGGACTTGATGTAAAATCTTTTAAGTCCTTAATATAATTAATTTTCTGTTTCTCTTTATGTAGATGTATGAAAGTCCTTAATATAATTAATTTACTTTTTTTTATTTATTTGTGAGAAAAGTTGAGAGTAAAATGACATGGTGGCACAGCTTAGGAATGATTTATGTTTAAAGGGACTACAGCTTGTTGCTGCCAACAGGGACACAAGGTGGCAGTGACAGGGACATGATGTGGCACTAGATAATAGGTACCAGTGCTGAAAACATTTCTTGGAGCATTGGTATCAAACAAAAAACATTGTTATTGCTTCAGAAAACGTCCTACCTGGCAGCTACGTTTTCAAACAAAAAAAAGACACCATTTTCTTAGAAAAATGTACTTCCAACCCACACATCAGCAGCACTGTATCTACAGCATCAATGCCAAACATATACTGTTATCAAATAGGCAAAGATGGATCGGCGGCCTCATCTTTATTTCTAGAGGATAGGTTTTAGTAAGGGTCATTTACTAGAAGATCCCCTATAGTTTCATTATTTAAACCTATCTCTTATGGTTTTTATTTTCTAAAACACTCTTATATTTTGCTATAACCTATTTATTAAAACACACTTATTGAAAGTGAAGTTCTTAGAAAACACCATAATTTTATTTTATTTTTTTATTTTTATTTTTGGAGAGGGGGGGGGTTAAAGAAAGAATGGGTTCCACAAGTGGACCCTAGAACTGTCAAGGCTAGAATCGACCCAAGAACTAATCTTGATAAGATATTTCCAAATCCAAAAACCTAAAAACAATCCCTATAGGGTAGGTTCCAAGTTCTATGTTGGAACCAAATCAGACTAACCTATACTCACCCCTACCATCATCCCTTCATCTCTCTTTCTCTCCTACACTCTCTCCCCTCTCTCTTTTATTAATTAATTTTTAAATAAATGTACACACAAATCTCAATCTCTCTTATCACAACAATCCATTCTCTCTCTTCTATTAATTATTTATTAATTAGTGTAATGTATACAAAACTAATTATTATATTAAGTAGACCTAATTTATTTAACATAGTTCAATTATGTAAACTAATTTAACAGAATAGGTAAATGAGTTAACCTATTAAATTTAACTTAATTGAGCTAACATGATAAATCTAATTTAATCTACTTAAATTAACTAATAAAACCAAACTAACTTAATGAAAGTAACACAACTTGATCCGGTTAATTAGGATACTCAGTCGGTATCCAGCCTCCCCGCCCCAATCAGGTTGGGGATGGGGATTGTTCTAGCTGGGACAAAGACAAAGACAACAAATAATTGGGATATCCGATCAAGCTGGACAGGGACAGGGATATGGGAACCCATTGCGACAAATTGGACAAATTTTGAAAATTTGTACTTACAATAAAGACACTACATATATTGAACAAATTTCTATATTTTCTTAATTATTAATGATGATAGCTACGTCCTAAATCAATTTATATTACTTAAATTTTCTTTCTTTAAGTAAATATTTTTTCCAAAGCTAACTTTTAACTCAAAAAAAAAATATCTTCAAGGATTTGGGTGACACTCGTCTCCATCAAGGCTGGAGGTTCATTTTTCTCCCCAAGAAGGATTGAAGATGGTGATAGAGATAGGAATGCAAACGAATTGGATCATATTCGAATAAGGGCCTATCTGAGTCCAATTTGATACATTGTAAGTCCGATCCGATCTAATTCAAAGATTCAATTAGATCTCATAAATACCGATTCAAATTCGAATCTGATCATGATGTTGGATATTTGAATCTGATCTGATTCAATTTAATTTTTTAAAAATTTAATAAATTATTAAAAGGAAAAATTATAACTATTTAAATAAAAAACAAAAATACAAATACTTTTTTGAACTATTTTCATCATATATATACATGTTTTTATAAAAGGAAATAATATAAAAAATTTACAAAACTACTATATATATCTATATATATATATATATATTATAGGATAAGGATGACCCGAATCCGATAAAATAGGATTAGATGAAATCATGATCGAATCAATTCAATTTGCACCCCTAAATAGAGGGTTGTAATAGTAGTAAAAAATAAAGGACGATGATTAGTAGTATCTTCCCTGCCCTCATGACATTCCTAAATTCTGCCATGTCAATATATTAATCAAGAAATTAAATATGTAATAGTAGTAAAAAATTAATAACAAGTAGTATATAATACCACACAATAAATTAGTCGCAATAAAATATTACAAAGATGAATAGGAAATTAAAATAAGTATTAATAAATAATTCCAAAACAATAAAATATTACAAAGATAAATAGGAAAATTAAAATAAGTATTAATAAATAATTCTTAAACAAGATAATAATTAGTATTAGTAAGTATATATATGTAATATTTCATTAGATATTTTAGATTTGCCATTTAATATAAAATTATTATTTGTATGCTTCTCCTATACTTAAATTTCATTTAAAATAATTGAAAATAAATAAAATTAAAAAATATAAGTAAAAATCAAAACAAAACGTAAAGTAAAACTCATGTAAATTTAATTTAGAATAATAAAAATTAACAAACATTAATAGAAAAATCATACAAGTTTATCTAACAATACATAACCCAAAAATATTTCTTGGGTTGGAACCAATTTGGTTTTGACAAAATTGAAAATGTCACAAAGATCCACCAACTTGAGTTTTGTTTAACAAAGCAGCCCCCACTAGGTTAGATATAGGTCAATTTAATTAACATAGCTTAATTAGCTATGTTAATGTAGTTTATATTGAAGTTAAAAAAAAAAGGAGATTTCGCTTAATTATACCCATACTTGGTCAAGTTAATTTAATATTAATTTAGTTTAGATTAGTAGTAGTTGGGGAAAAAAGCTTTATGTTAAGGGAATTTGTCTAAAATTCACCATGAGTTTTCAGCATTTCTCTTAAACTCACAACTTTTCAAAATGTCTAAAACTCATCATGTCAGTATATTTTTATTTTCCAAAACTTACCTTCCATTAGTACACGTTAATGTTTCTTCACAGAGGTGTCCACATCAGCATAAATAACAAGTTTCATGACAAGGGTCTTTTCATGTTTTTTTTTTTTGCATTCTTAGTGTTTTGTTATAATTTCCAATGTTTTCTATAGTTTCTGTTTTTTTATTACATTTTTCTATTTTCTACAATCTATAAATTTTCCTGTATTTTTTGTTATTTATTTACGATTTCTGTGTTTTTCTATATTTTTTTGTGTTTTCTACAATTTTTATTTTCTGATTTTGTTTTTTCAATTTCTATATTTTTTATAGTTTGAAAGTAATTTTTTATTTTGTTTGCAATTTCTATAATTTTTATATATTTTTTTAAATTTCCGTGTTTTATGCATTTTATATTTGAAAATATTTTTTTGAACTTTTTCCTGTTTTTCATGTCTAATATTAATATATATATATATATTATTTTTATATAAAGGTTAAAATGGTAATATATTAACACCCGTTAGTTTGTTTAACATCAAATTAGTGACATGGTGAGTTTTAAGCATTTTAAAAAGTTGTGATGGGTTTAAGAGGAATACTGAAAACTCAGGGTGAGTTTTAAACAATTTCCCTTATATTTATGAAGGCTTGCCCTGTTTTGTTAATAAATAAATTATTCTATATTAATTGTTAGAAAATATATAGATTTTTTTCTATTAATAGTAAACTAATTAATTAGCTATCTTTGATTAATCAATCATCTATTGAACTACTTTTATTAGG